AAAAAAAAAAAAAAAAAAAAAAAGAACCTGTGTCTTCACTGGGAGAGGACAGGTGGCAGGGCTAAGGTGCTCCCCGGCTCCAGGGAGGCGGTGGTGAAGGTGGTTTAGGGATATGGCCCGCGGGAACGGTGACCTGCAGCTGCCGGTGGCCAGGGCCAACAGGACGTCCCSGGAGGAGGGAGCGAGGTTGTGGGGTTCCCTGGGCCTGAAAGCCCCCAAGAACCCTACCCCTGGTCTCCTCCCTGCTGCTGGGAGCTGTGCCCACTGTCTGTGCCTTTCACTCCCCAGCGGAGGGGACCCCCTGCTGGAATCTGGCCATCTTTGGCGATAGGGGSATGGAGCCCAGGGCCCCCACATGCTGGGCGGGCACTCCACGGCGGAGCCCCAGCCCCCCGCTGGGTTTTCTTATGGTATGTAATCCCAGCCTCCCTGGTTTATGTCTGGAATGAGTGCCGAGACCAAACATTAATTGTGCGCCCTCTGCATGCCCAGCCTGCTCTGGGCATTTATTAGTTTAGCGATTCCTTTTAAGGATCTATGGAGTGGCTACTGTCACTTCTGTTTTAGCCCCAGGAAAAGGGGCGAATCCGGAGTAAGGACCCAGGACGGCAYAGCCGAGAAGTTGTGGAGGCAGGACCGGGGCGGAACCCCTGGCTCTGAGTGGGCTCTCACGCACTGTCCCGAGGACGCCTCAAACTGTGGGGACCTGCCGGGCGCCAGGGCTCGGGCCACCACCCTTCCACAGAGTCGGGAGCTCCGGCTGCTCCCACCACCCAGCTGTCCAGGCCACTCCTGCGGCCCTGCCCTGGCCCTGTGCCTGGTCCCACCCTCCCTCTGCCAACAGAGTCTGGGCAGGGTTTTATGGGCTCTGATAAGGCCCTGGTGAGGCCGAAGTCTAGGAGCACTTCCTCTTTGTGCCCGGGCAGGGGGGGACGGGTGTCCACCAGGAAAGCCAGTGTGTGCTCAGGGATCCCTGGGAGAAGGACCTCGCGGCCCTCCCTGCCAGCCACTCCCTTTGCCTCTGCTATAAGGGCCACCCACTGCCTGCCATCTGCCACTTTCTCTCTCCTCTAGCTCCTCTCGAGCACAAGCTACCAGCGCAGCCTCTGAAGATGGCCTTTGTCCCTGCGCCGGGCTACCAGCCCACCTACAACCCGGTGAGATGCCAGCCAGGCCCCACCCCAGGCCTTGGCTTAGCTGCTCTCCGAGCCACACTCCAACCCGTGGGGGACCCCCGACCATCATGACGCTCAGGCTTCATCCCCCAGTTTCCTCACTCCAGTTTCATGTCCCCTGCTTTCGGGGCCAGAAGGGGTTTGTTTCGGTGAGGGGGAAGGGCTGCGACTGTCCCATGGCCTCTGACACCCTCACCGGCCCATTCTTCAGACCCTGCCCTACAACCAGCCCATCCCCGGCGGCCTCAGAATCGGAATGTCCATCTACATCCAAGGAGTGGCCGATGAGAAGATGCAGCGGTAAGTGGACCCCCACCTCGTCCCACCAGGCTGGGCTGCAAGGGAACTGGTGCTGCAGCCCACCTGTAGGAGCTTTTTTGCCACCTCCAAGATGAGAGAGAGGGAGGAATGGAGGAAGAGAGGAGAGGGAACTGCCAGTGCAAAGGCCCTGTGGCAGCCGGGTCCTGCCCTGTTGGAATAACTTCTGGTGTGATGGGCAGTGTGGAAGGTGCTCTGACCTGGGCGTTCCCAGCTTCTCTGGCTGTGGGTGGGGAAGGAATGTCGGGGTCCAGGAAGGAGCAGAGAAACTCCAATGGATGTCAACCCATGGATGTCAACTGTGACCTCAGGAGTCCCCAGAGCAAATAGTTGAAGCTGGGAGGGGTGGGGAAGGTGGCCTCGAAGGAGCAGCGAGCCAAGGGGCTGCTGTGGGAGTCGATCTCTGGAACTCCAGGTCACCACCTCCTCTCCTGGCTTGGTCAGTAGTGCCCGGGGCAGAGAATGTGGGGACAGAGCTCCCTGGAGAGGTCCCTGTGGGCGGCAGGTGTCCTCCGGGRAATCAGCCCTTGGCGTCTGTCTCACCAGGTTCCAGGTGAACTTCGCGGTGGGGCAGGGCCCAGGGGCGGACATCGCCTTCCACTTCAATCCCCGCTTCGATGGCTGGGACAAGGTGGTCTTCAACTCACAGCAGGGTGGCCGCTGGGGCGACGAGGAGAGGAAGAGGAGCATGCCCTTCAGCAAGGGGGCCCCCTTTGAGCTGGTGTTCATGATCCTGGCGGAACACTACAAGGTCTGGCTGGGCGCCTCCCTTGGCCTCCGCCCCCCCCCAGCCTCCTCCCTGCCCCCTGCCTCCTTCTTCTTCCCTTTCTTTCTTTCTGTATTTGGTATCAGAATTGAACCCACATCCCCAGCCCTTTTTCATGTTTAATTTAGACACAGGTTCTTCCTAAGTTGCTTAGGGCCTCACTGTGTTGCTGAGGCTGGCTTTGAATCCCCATCCTCCTGCCTCGGCCTCCCGAGGTGCTGGGATTGCAGGCGTGTGCCACCGCCCCCAGCTGGCTCCCTTTCTCCCTTCTTTCTTTTCTTCCCTCTCTTCCTTCCCCTTCCTGCCTCACTTTCCCTTTCCTTTCTCTTCCTTCTCTTCCTGCCTATTCCACCTGCTCCGCGCTCTGGACACACAGGAAAGGAAGCCCCAGGCACAGAGAGCGCGTGGTGTGTCCCGCACCGTGCAACGGCGTCTCCTCCTCTTCCGCCAACTCCGCCTCCCTGTTATTGAAAAGCAGATCCCAGACATTATGTCATTTCATTCATAAATGTCTCCATTTGTAAGAGCAGAGACACAATGCCACCGTCACACCTTAACATCCCCTGCCTGCTCCAGGCGGCTCATAATGTTGTTTTCCCGTGTGCCTGATCCAGGTCCAAAGAGGGTGGGTGCCTGCAGGCTGATCAGTCACACGTAGGGGTGGCTTTGTTTTGATTTTGGTATCAGGGATTGAACCCAAGTTCACTTAACCACTGAGCCACATTCCCAGCCCTTTTTATTTTATCTTTTATTTTGAGACAGGGTCTCATTAAGTGGCGTAGGGCCCACAAAGTTGAAGAGGCTGGCCTCGAACTTGTGATCCTCCTGCCTCAGCCTCTCAGTTGCTGGGATGGCAGGTGTGCTTGCCTTTGATTTAAAGTATGTACACAGCCAGCTCTGGGCCACTGCCTTCCATTTCTTTTCTCACTCACCATGTCGTGTGGCTTGGAGTCCCTGGTTGGTGACCTCAAATGGTCGTGCAGGATCCCTGGCCTCTGCCCTCTGCCCAGGTCCCTGTKGTGGCCAATCTCCTTGCGCGTGTTCTCCTGGACCAGATGTGGTGGGAGACCCCCAGGCCCAGGCTCTTGTTGACTTTGTCTGAGCACCAGATCTCTTCTTCCTCTCCTTCTCCTCCTCCTCCTTCTCTTTCTTCTTTTTCCCCCCCCGTACTGGTGATTGAGCTCAGGAATGCTTAACCACTGAGCCCCAGCCCCAGCCCTTTTTAAAAAATATATATTAATTTTTTTAGTTGGCTTTATTTTATTTATTTATTTTATGTGGTGCTGAGGCTGGAACTCAGGGCCTCCCATGTGCTGGGCGAGCCTCTACCGCTGAGCCCCAGCCCCAGCCCTGGCCCTTTTAATTTTTTCATTTCAAGGCAGGATCTCACTAAGTTGCACAGGGCCTTGCTGATTCGCTGAGGCTGGCCCCAAACTTTCGATCCTCCTGCCTCAGCCTCCCAAGCTGCTGGGATGACAGGCGTGGAGCCAAATTCCTAACCCCGGCATCTGGGCTGGGATTGTCCACGCTCAGGTTCCAGTTGGCCACTCTACACCTATAGCCCTCATTTTCTTGGGCAATGGGAAGGATCCCTTGAGCTGTTGAGGTCCCTTGTGGAGGTCACCACATCCAGCGCTTAGCRTGTGGGAAGTGCCCAGTCCCACGGAGCTGGATCCTGGCCCTGTGCCTGTCACTTAGCATCATGATGGAACCGGGYGCCTGAGCTATACCAAGCAACGGACCCGGTCTCCACCTGCCTCTGACACACCCTGTCACGTCGGGTGGCATCTCCCGACCAGCTCAGATATGAGCAGGTTCCCATTTCACAGATGAGGAAACAGAGGTTCCGAGARGTAAAGCAACTTACCAGAGGTCACACAGCCAGGGCGTGTCAGAGCTAGACCTTAAACCCACTCATCTGGTGCCAAAGCCAGGCCTCGGGCGTGTCCTCTCCTGATCTCCTTCTCCAGCTAAACCCTCTTCTCTGGACCCTCCGTGACCTGACTTCTGACCCCAGCTTGATCTCTGACCCCTGGACTCCAAGGTCCCTGAGGCCCAGGCTCTCCAGTTACCTCCCTGGGACACTCGTGACCCCAAGTTCAAAAAGAAGACGCCTGTTCCCCGCTCCCTGCTCCTACCTGCCCCAGGTCCCCGTGCTGACCCCTCTTGTCCCYGCCCCAGGTGGTGGTCAACGGAGACCCTTTCTATGAATTTAGACACCGGCTGCCCCTGCAGATGGTCACCCACCTGCAGGTGAACGGCGACCTGCGTCTTCAGTCAATCAACTTCCTCGGGGGCCAGTTCACCCCAAATCAGGTGCGTGCCRGCCCCTCCCTTTTTTGCTTCTTTCCTTCCTTAACCTGTCCCCACCGTCATTCATTACCCAGGCGCCCGCTCTGTGYCAGACAGAGACGTCATCCAGTGGTTAGGACCCCGGTGGGGAGGCTCGGGCAGAGGGACGGGGCCAGGGCCAAGGACACACAGGGGACTTGAGAGAGAAAAGGAAAGACTTAGTCACAGGGTCACAAAGAAAGAGCTTCCTGGAGGAGAAGGTGTGTGAACGGAGTCAGCAAGTGAGATAAGAATTTGTGAGCAGCACACACATTCACGACAGGTTGCTTAACGCACCTGGGGACCTCAATCAAAGCCACGAGCTGCCATTACATGCCCGTCAGGCCCTCAGGAGCATTCTGTGGGCAGACGGGTGGCCCAGCCGGCCCTCCCACATGGCTGGGAGCGCGGCAGACACAGTGTCCTTGGAAAAGAGCTGGCACACCACACTGCGATGGCCGAGGGACGTCACTCTGTGAACAGTAGGCAAAGGGCCGCCGTGCACCCCAGCACCACCCCAGYAGCCCCATTTACAAAAGCCCAGGGCTTGGGCAGCAGCTCAGGGGCAGAGGCTTGCCCAGCCAGCGCGAGGCCTGGGTTCCATCCCCCCCAGCACCCTCAAAAGAAACAAGCCCCAGAGTCAGAGCTGCCCACGTGTTCCCCAACAGGTGACTGAGTACACAAGGGTCCATCACCCAGAGATGGGAGGAATGGTCAACAGCTGCACACAGCAGCAGGGGGCTCTCCTCGTCCAATACGGAGTCCAAAAACACACAGGCAGCCTCAGAAGAAGGGCACGGGTGGCACAAGCAGCTCAGGAGGCTGAGGCAGGAAGATTGCAAGTTTGAGGCCAGCCTCAGCAATTTAGAGAGGCCCTAAGCAACTTAGTGAGATCCCATCTCAAAATAGAAAATAAAAAGGGCTGGGGATGTGGCTCAGTGGTTAAGGACCCCTGGGTTCCATTCCCAGTACCAAAAAAAAAAAAAAAAAAGAAAAGAAAAGAAAAAAAGAAAAGAAGAAAGAAAAAGCACAATTTTTTTTTTTTTTACCAGTTGAAAAAGCACATTTTGTTTCCAGGGGTCTCAAGAGATGTAGGATCAAATCACAGGAAGAAGGAACTCACTGTTGATCTCACTTTGGGTTGTGTCACCCATGAGGAGGCCCAGGGACAGGGTGGGGAGGGCACACTGCCACATCCCTTTAATCCTCCCAGTGACTGATGGTGGTGAGACGCGGAACTGAGGCCCAGAGAGCTTTAGTAATGGGCCCAGGGTCACAGAGCCGGTGACAGGCGCAGGGCCTGCTCAGGGCTCTCCTGCCTCCCTCCTGTGCCTCTCCCCGGGCAGCACCGATTCGTTTCCAACAGGAAAACAGCTGCGCGGCCATTTTTAAAAGGCTTCAGAACAGGGGCTGAAACCAGAGGTCGAGGCMGAAAGGAGGCCATGAGAGAAAAGGAGGAGGAAACCAAGGAGGGAGGGAGGAAGGTGGTCTAGGCAGAGGGGTCTCCTGGCCTGGGGGACAGGGTGCTCCGGGGGCCTCCGAGGGCGCTGCCTGCCCAGTGCTGGGCACGTGGATGAGGGGCCACGGCGGCTGGAGATGGGGTGATGGGGTGATGGGGTGGCGGGGCAGGGGTCCCGAGGTGCTGGGGCTGTGAGATCCGGCCTCTGGGCTGAGCGGGCAGGACTGGGGACCGAGGACCCTGGGCAGCCAGCAGGGGCAGAGTCCTCAGCCGCTGTCCTGAAGGTGTGGGGGAGGCTCAGGGGAAACGGGACTGAACATGGCCAGTTCCTCCCAGGGGCAGTCCTCTGGGGCCAACCTTGAACTTCAGACACCCCTGCAYGGTGGCCATGGTGGCCGTGGCTGCCCCGGGGCAGGCGCCCTTGATAACTTCTGTCCTCTTGCTCTCTCTGCTCCCACAGGGACCCATGGGCCTGCCACCTCTCCATGTAAGTACCTGCTGGGGCCAGGGCTCCCCCGGGCGGAAGAGGAGCGGCCAGGGAGGTGTGTGGGTGGCTGAGGGACGGGGTCCCTTACCTCCCCACCCATCCCTGCAGGGTCCCGGGCCCAATCATCACCACCTGGGCAGCCTGCCTGTGAGTACGGGGCTGCGGGACCGTCAGAGGGATGGGGACAGTGGGGGCACCCAGGGTGGAGAAGGACGTGTGCACAGCGGGGGGGGGGGGGATTTGTCAACTGTCATGGAATAACATGGCTGCCCCCTCCCGTTCACAGACCATGATGGGACCCCCTACCTTCAACCCGGTATGGCACCCTGAGGGGCTTGGGGCTGGGGGAGGGGGACTGGTGGGGGGAGGGGCTGAGCCGTGGGGGTCCCCGGAGGTCAGCTCTGTGGTGGGTGGAGGGTCTTGAGACTGGAGGTGGGAGGGGTGCAGGAACCTGCTTGGGGACTTTTCCCAAGAACAAAGAGGGCTGCACGCTGAAAACSTGTCTTTGGACCTGGCTTTTGGGGACTTGCGTGTGGACGGGACCCATCTCTCCTCCCACAGCCTGTGCCGTTCACAGCGAGGCTGCAGGGGGGACTGACGGCCCGGAGGACCATCATCATCAAGGGCTACGTGCTCCCCACGGCCAAGAGGTACAGAGCCCAGGTCCAGGGGGGCCCAGCCCTCCTCCCTGGGGGACCCAGGAGCCCAGGCACCCATTCCTGCTCCTTGGAGACCCGTCTGACCCTCCTTCTCTGTCCTCAGCTTTGCCATTAACTTCAAGGTGGGGTCCTCGGGGGACCTGGCTCTGCACATTAACCCCCGCATGGGGGAGGGCTCCGTGGTGCGGAACACCTGTGTGAGGGGCTCCTGGGGCTCTGAGGAGCGGAAGATCGCCCACAACCCATTTGGCCCTGGCCAGTTCTTTGATGTGAGTCTGGGGTCTTGCTGGCAGCTCGGGAGGCRGAGGCAGGAGGACCACAAGTTGGAAGACAGACTCAGCAATTTAGCCAGGCCCTAAGCAACTTAGCAAGACCCTGTCTCAGAAAAATAAAGAGATAAACATAAAAAGGGCTGGGGATGTGGCTCCGAGGTTAAGTGCCCCTGGGTTCAATCCCCAGWACAAAAAAAAAAARRAARRAAAARGAGTYTGGGGTCCCCTCCCCCACTTGCTGGCAGAGCCTCTGCCCTGGCCTGGCCTCACGCCTGCCCCTTGCCCACAGCTGTCCATTCGCTGTGGCACGGATCGCTTCAAGGTCTACAACAACGGCCAGCACCTCTTTGACTACTCCCACCGCCTCCCGGCCTTCCAGACAGTGGACACGCTGGAGATCAAYGGCGACATCACCCTGTCCTACGTTCAGGTCTGACCTGCTCTTGGCGAAACTCCTGGGAAGACAGGATTCCCCAGGACACCTTCCTAACCCCTAATAAAATCTCGGAGGGTGTCTTCTGTGTGGCTCCATCGCCGCCCTCAGCTCTCCCCAACTGACCACCTGGCGGGCCACCGCCCAGCTACCTGTCACCCGTTCTTTCTCTCAAGGTGTGGGCAGCAGTGTGTTCTCTCTCTCTCTCTGTTTCTGGGGATTTGGTGGCTAGGGCTGGCTTTGAACCTGCTGAGCCTCCTCCCTTAGCATCCCCTCCCACCCCCACCCCTGGAGCTGCTGGSATYCCTGGCATGTGCCACCACACCCTGCCCAGACGGGGTCTTTAGAGGGATCCCCCCAGTTGTCTCTTGGAGTTCAGGTTCTCGGGAACCCAGTGGGAATGCAGGCAGGGACCTGGGAAGGGGACATCAGGGCTGGAGCAGAACCAGACCATGGGGAGGCGTGAGGGGTGGGTGGGTGGGTGACAGGTCAGGGGGCTTGAGTAGAAATCAGGATCCACCTCTGAGACAGGGACMTGGGGAGGAAACAGGTATGGGGCAGGAGAGGAGCCAGGAAGGAGGGGATCGGGATCGGGATCCGGAGGGGAGGGAGACACTCTGCAGGTTAGGGTGACTTCAGCTGCGTGGAGACTACTGCGTGTCTGAGGCGGCTTCCTGGGTGAGGGGGCATTCCATGCCCTGGATTCCGCAGTTTTATGCATTTGCCAGAACTCGATGAAGGTACGCTGAAGATTCGTGCATTTTTAAAAAATATATTTATTTATTTATTTATTTTTTAGTATTTGGCAGACCCAACATCTTTGTTGGTATGTGGTGCTGAGGATCGAACCCGGGCCGCACGCATACCAGGCGAGCGCGCTACCGCTTGAGCCACATTCCCCAGCCCCTCGTGCATTTTTTTAAGAGTTCTTTTTCTTTTAATTATTTTTTTTTTCGTTGTAGATGGACACAATATCTTTATTTTTATTTTTTAATGAGGTGCTGAGGATCGAACCCAGGGCCTCATGCATGTGAGAGAAGCACATGAGCCACAACCCCAGCCTAGATTTGTGCATTTTGATAGTATATTAATTTTGCCACAAAGGAAATTATTATGAGGTTGGGCATATAACTCTATGGTAGACTGCCTGCATGAGGCCCCCAGTTCAATCCCCAGCAGTGCCAGAAAGCGAGAGGGAGAGAGAGAAAATAAATAAATAAATAAATAAAATGAAACTTTTTTAAATACTGGGGATTGAATCCAGAAGTGCTTTACCACTGAGCCATATCCCCAGACCTTTTTATTTTATTTTATTTTTTTTAATTTTGAGACAGAGCCTCACTAAATTGCTGAGGCTGACTTTGAACTTGAGATCTTCCGGTCTTAGCCTTCTGAGTCACTGGGATTACAGCCTGGAGTTCCACGCCCCACTACTTTTTAAACTTTTGACACTGAGATAAGAACAATTGGAAAAATATCCAAGATTTTAACAAGTATGTAATTGGCATCTCATGAAAAAGTAGAAAGTATAAATTCTTAAAAGTTATAACCACTGGGCTGGGGCTGTGGCTCAGTGGTAGAGCACTTGCCTCACATGTGTGAGGCCCTGGGTTTGATCCTTAGTACCACATTAAAAAATAAAATAAAGGTAGTGTGCCCATCTACAGCTAAAATTATTTTTCAAAAATGTTATAGCCAGAAATCATGTAAAGAAAGTGAAAATACTACCTAAAATATATTCAAAATAACACTGTATTGTCGTTAAATTCATGTGTGTGTGTGTTTATGGACCTTTATTTTATTTATGCTAGGCAAATGCTCTACCACTGAGCCACAACCCCAGCCCTTAAGTTGTTAAGTTCTAAACCTGAATCTCAATAAAATTTTAAAGCTAAAATAAAAAAAGCAAATAGAATTCAGCTAAAGCAGTCTTTAGAGGAAAACTTATAGCTTTAAATATGCACTAGAGGGCTGGGGATGTGGCTCAAGCGGTAGCCCGCCCGTCTAGCATGCACGCGGCCCGGGTTCGATCCTCAGCACCACATACCAACAAAGATGTTGTGTCTGCCGAAAACTAAAAATGTTAAAATAAATAAATAAATATGTACTAGAAAGAAAGGGAAGACCCCAGACTACATCAAACTTTTTTTTTTTTTTTTTTTTTTTTTTGTACTGGGGATTTAACCCAGAGAAACCCCACCGCTGAGCTTACATCCTTGGTCCTTTTTGTTTTGAGACAGGGTCTTGCTAAGTTGCCCTGGCTGGCCTTTAACTTGGGATCTTCTTGCCTCAGTCTCCTGTGATTATAGGCACACATGCTCACAATTCTAAATTTTAAAGCAGGAAGACTTAGTTTTAGAATAAGTTTTAGAGCAGGAAGAACTAGTTTGTGAAGACAAATGCAGAACTGATTAGAAACTGTCAGGCGCTATGAACATGTGGTCTCGAAGGGGAGATGGCTGGGTGCGGTGTGAGCACGGCCCACAGCTGTGTTTACCAAATGCGTGGAACTGAACCTAGAAAAGGATGACTTTTATTGTATGTGGACTGTGTCACAAGGTCATTTTTAGGATGCAATTTCCCAGTGCTATAGACCCCGAGGTGTGCTTGTCACCACCAAATAAAAGTTAACTTTTAACACCAGCGCAGAAGCCCTGGGGGCAGACTTTCCGGGTCTCCAGCTCTGAGTCTCAGCGGCGGCCCCGGCTCCTGGGTGGGGACACCGCCCACCCCGAAGGGAAAGTCGCAGGTAGAGCCAGGATGGACCGCTTGTCCTTGGGACCGCTTGTCYCCAAGGACGCCACAATCAGGTTCCGGCTAAGCCAGGAACCGCTGGCCTGTCCCGCACCCGCTGGGGTCAGTGCGGCAAGGTCACTGACGACTACCAGGGGGTTCGGCCACGCCCCGCCCCGCCGGGAATCTGGGCACAAAGCCCAGGGCACCTCCCTCCAAGGCGCGGCTCTGGACAAATATTCCTGAAACGTGGCTGCCTGACCCAGCTGGCGGCCACCACGCCCAGCGTGCAGCACCGGGCGCCAGGTGGTGCYGCCTCTCCCAGCCCGCCCTAGAGGGGACCCTGAAAGTCACCCCAGGTGGTCGCTCCCCGAGGTCACAGTCTCGGGATAGGGTCGGGTCCGAGCCACCGTGGGGTTGGAGGGCAGGGCGTGTGCTGATGGGCTGCGGGTCCCCAAGCCGGCCTTTCCCGTCCCTCTTGGCTCGGCGGGGCGTCGCGTCTGCCTGGAGGATGCGCAGGCTGGGACCTGTCTGGACGCTGGATGCCGCCCCGACCCGGTGACATCCTTCAGAATTCCCAGCTCCGCCCGCCTGCGCCATTTTCAGGGTCCCGGGGGCCACAGAGCCACCCCTTCCAAGATTATTCCTGTCGCCAGATTATTCCTGATGCCCAGGAAATCAAGACCCTCCGGTCCCCCGGCAGGAATTGCCCGACGGGCGCAGGTGCGAATCCCGCGTGGCCACGGATTCGCTGAGATCCCAGAGTCGCTGACTTCACCTCTCTGAACCTCAGTGTCTTCATCTGTATTAAGTGGATCCTTCCGCCCGGCCTCCCCGCAGCCCCGCAGGCTCTTGGGTTCTGCTCCGGAGACCTTCACCGACCCCAGCCGCAGGGCACCGCCCGCTCCTGCAGGCTCACGCAGGCGCTCCTCTGGGACAGTGGCCTCGGTGGGCGAAGTGGTGATCCTYCAAGTCTCCGATCACCCCGTTTTCGGGGCAAGGGTTGGGGTTAGATTCTGGAGACGGACAACGGGGTCAGGCCCTGGGTCTACACTCTCTGAGTGGCACCCCGCCAAGCATCAGGTTCCCCTCTAGGAAAACGTGACTCGAGTCGGTTCTAACAGGATCAGAGGAATTTCCCCTTTCCTGGGCGCCCACTGGCTGCAAAGTCCTGTCCTCAGGGCATAACTCCAGGAGCTGACGCAGAGCAGGCAGATCCCTAGTCTGGAGTCCAAGGCCAAAGGCCAAACCCAAGCAGAGGGAGGGCTGGTGGACTAATGGCCTTGGATTTCAGGTTCCAGATGCACCCAGAAGTTTATGGGAGCCCTGGGCGCACATCTACCTAGACGGGAGTCACTAGGCTCAAGGTCTCCTCATTTCCCATGCTCCTGGGAGCTGCCAAAGAGCCCTTTGCTGATGGCCAGATTATTTCTGATGCCCAGGAAATCCCCAGTTCCCAGAGGACTAGGAACAAGACCAGTGAGCCCACAATTCCCAGGGCACCCAGACTCCCAGGAGGCCTGAAGTCCTAAACCCAGAAAGTCCTAGAGTGACAGGGGAGGCTGGTTGTGGCAGCACGTGCCTATTATTCCAGCAACTCGCTGAGGCTGATCTTGAACTTGTGATCCTCAGGAGGCTGACCAGACCTCCCAGGGTCCAGCAGGGCCCCGGGACTCCAGGCATGTTTCCAGAGGCTCAGATAGCCAGATGCAGAAGTCCTAGGACTATCCGAGGAACCCTGAGGTTGTCCTTGAACCCCCAGATCCTTTGGTCATGGAGAAAGCCAGTGGATATATCGGGTTTCTGAATGCAAGCAATGGCCTGGGAATTCCAAGACTCTGACGGGCAGAGACGTGCCTGGGGCCACCACCTCTGGGGATCCGCTGAGCCTGGAGGTTCTACCCTCCTCTCCTGGCAAGGAAGGAGAGAGGGGTCCCGGCTGTTCCCCCCGTCCTGTGCTAGCAGGGGCTGGGATCTTCCCGACTCTGCCAGGGACAGCAGAAATGGTGACCCTAGGCAAACCGACTGGGGCTTCAGCAGGGGGCAGGCCGTTCCCCTCTTCCTGGGAGTCAGGACTCCTGTACCGTTCTTGCAGGTCATGCTGGGTCTCAGGCTCCTCCTTCTCAGCCTGGAGCCTCCTGCCCAGGGTGGACCCCAGCTCCAGGAGGCCCCAATTTATGGCTCTGTAACAGGACAACAGTAACAAGGACCATAATGTAGGAAAGGCAGCTCCCAGGGGCAGGATGGTGTCCTCTTTGTCCCTTGATGCACCCTGCACTGTGCTGGGCA